TCCCACTGCTAAAGACCCTGACGCGCAAGCGAATGATTAAAATAAGATTGAACCATATGTTAGTCATGAAATGGCCCAGTATGTGTTGAGTTGGCGATAAACCCCATTTCTCTCTCTTTTGAAAAGCTTATACCTAAGACTTGTTAGTCTAATTCCATTTCTTATATCCAGATTTTGAACGTTTTATTTTTTTTAATTCTGAAATGAAGATCAGTGGAAACTGCTGATTTAATTAGAGTCAATAATAGGCTTGTACTTTTCTTTCAAAACCATATCTCAAATTTCAAATAATTCTTTTTTTTTCTTTTTTTTTTCATTACTGCTGGCTTTTGATTGTTTTTCAAGTCTACCAGATAATCATTGAATATAAAATCAATAGAATCAATTACGAGTAGCAGCAGTAGACAAGAAATCTGTTCGTTGACAGAAGCCAGATCGAAATCGAGACAAAAAAAAACCAGTCATCTCCTTTCCCTTATTTGTTAATTGGGGGGGTTGGATGGCCGTATGGTTAGCACGTGCATGCAGTATCATATATCAGGCCTGTCATTGAGTCAACTGGCGTGGTTTCGAATCCCCGGTTGTACGTGACAAGGAATAGGGTCGCCTGTCCAACCTCGTGGGTTTTCTCCGGGTCCTCTGGTTTCCTCCCAATGCTAAAGACCCCTAAACGCAAGTGAATTAATGAAATAAAATTAAACCATATGTTAGTCCCGAAATGACCAAGTTTGTGTCGAGTGGATGTTAAACCCCATCTCTCTCTCTCTCTCTCTCTCTCTCTCTCTCTCTCTCTCTTTTCTCTCTTTCTCGCGGGGGTTGGATGGCCGAAATGGTTAGCACGCGCGCGCTATATCATACGGTCTGTCATTGAGTCCACTGGCGGGGTTTCTATTCCCCGGTTGTACGTGACAAGGAATATAGGTTCGCCTGTCCAACCACGGGGGTTTTCTCCGGGTCCTCCGGTTTCCTCCCTCTGCTAAAGACCCCTACGCGCAAGCGAATTATTAAAATAAAATTAAACTATATGTTAGTACCAAAATGACCTAGTTTGTGTCGAGTGGATGTTAAACCCCATTTCTCTCTCTCTCGCTTGATAAAGACTAGAGATAAGCCTAGTCGAAACATCACATCAGTAATAAACAGTATTTGTATACCATAGAATTGTGTCTTAGTAACAACAACTTTATAATCCTTATTACATCAACATCTAATGGATTAACTGTACAATAGATTATTATTTATATAACAAAGACTCTCCACTACAATTACAGGTAGTTGATATTGATTCGGCTTCAAGCTAATCTGTAATGACTGGCCATGGGAACTTATTTAATTATTATTCAATTCTTTATTTTAGATGTGGTAGAATAAATTCTACCTGGTTATTTAATTAAACATACATTATGTAAGAGCTAAATCTGCCTATTTCAGGTCTTTCTTTAGGCCTGTTATCTAAATTATTAATTAGACATTAATTTACTTATCCATAATCCAGGCCATAATCAACTCTCGATGGCATCAGATTTCTCCGATATTAAATAGATTAGAAGTACAGTTCAGCCATATTTTGATTTAAGCTAAAAATGGAGGAGTGCGACTTAGCTTCGAACAACCAGTACGGTGGTTGAAATTATTGCACACGTCTTGTCAAACCTTCAAAGGCTAATATCTTCGCCCGCAATAGAGTAATTTTAATGAAATTTTAAAATTATTCATTTTACATTATCTATGTTCGAACTATTATAGCAAGAATGGTCAGCTCTTTATCTAAATCTTACATAATGTATTTTTAAAGGATCAGTCACTATAGCAAGGTCCTGAACTTGTAATTGGTCATAGTATTAAAGGATCAGTCATTATGGCAAGTTCCTGAACTTGTAAAGTCCACCTGCCATTGCACTAATTGGTATTGTGGACTTGATTGTCTTTTGTAACGAGGGGTAGTGGGTGATTCACTGGCCGAATGCACATTAGATCCTATGGTCATGTGGCGTGGTTTCGATTTGCAGCTTGTACGTTACAAGGAGAAGGGTCGCCTGTCTAACCTCATGGGTTTTATTCAGGTCCTCTGGTTTCCTCCCACTGCTAAAGACCCCTATGCACAAGCAAATTATTGAAATAAAATGACCTAGTGTATGTCAAGTGGATGTTAAACCCCATTTCTTTCTTTCTCTTTCTAAGCAATAATAATAACCAGACAACCAGTGGACTAAGTCAAATTAATTTCCATGGAAACACAATATAAATCTGAGAAATGTCTAATTAAAAAAAGATCAGGTACTGTATAATGTGATGATCTGTGTGTTTCATTAAGATATCTTGATTGTTCTATGAGATATTCTCCTACAATAAAAATTGTATACCAAAATCAAATCAAATTTGTTCCCATGGAAACACAAAAATTCAAAATCACAAAATTTCCAATTAACAAAAGATACCACTACTATGTACAAAATTTCATAAAGAGATCCTGATCTTTTTATGAAAAATTCTATGGAAACTGAGCTTCCTTCTGTGTGAGATGGTTAAAAGCACATAGTTAATTTGTTGATAAGATTAGCAGGTTGTTTTATGAGATATTTTCTGGAAACAAAACCTTGATGGTCAAACAGAGCCCATTTCAATACCCCTCCCTTAGACATCTTCAAGGCATGAAAAGGACACAGTTTAAGAGTGATGCATGAACAAAGTTTCATAAAGAGATCTTTTATGATTGTTTTTTTATGAGATATTCTCTAGAAACAAAACCTGAATGGACAGACAGACAGATAGAGCCCATTTCAATATCCCTCCCATAACTTCAGTGCAGGATGATAAATGATCATAGTTAATTTGTTGTCTTTGATTAGACTTGATCGCTTTATGAAACATTCGTTGGAAACAAAACCTTGTTTTGAACCCCATTTTAATATCTCTCCCTTAGCTTCCTTTAGTGTGAGTTGATAATTTGTTGATGAGACTTAGTCTTTTTATGAGGTATTTACTGGAAGCAAAACTGCGATGGAAGGATAGAGCACATTCCAATATCCCTCCCTTAGCTGAGTGGGGTTGGATGGCCGAATTGTCAGCGTGCGCACGTTCAATTATAAGGGCTGTCATTAAGTCAACTGGAGTGGTTTTGATTCACAGTTGTACGTGACAAGGAGTAGGGTCGCCTGTCCAACCTTGTGGGTTTCTCCGAGTCCTCTGGTTTCCTCCTACTGCTAAAGACCCCTTTGCGTAAGCGAATTATTGAAATAGGACTAAACAGTGTGTTAGTCCCAAAATGACCTAGTTTGTGTCAAGTGAACGTTAAACCCCATTTTTTTCTCTCTCTCTCTCTCTCTTTTTTACTTTTATTTCACTTGATCATTTTATGAAATATTCTCAGGAAACCAAACCTAGTTGTATGGACAGACAAGTCGACCCCATTTTAAATTTCAATATCTCTCCCTTCATTTATTGCAAGATGATAAAATCACATATATTAGATTTGTTGATGAGACGTGCTTTAGTTTTATTTCATTTGTCCATTATCTCGTGGTAGTGATGTTGTATAGTGTTGACCTTTTAATGACTGTGAAAGAGAAGAATGTGAGAGATGTTATCTATTGTCGTACATCAATAGAACTAATTAACTGATAATTAACCCAAGATGGTTATCATGCTGATTACCTTCCGACTAACTTTCAAACAGAAGAAAGAAAATCTATCTTATACAGTGTCTTTTATTGATTTCATTGTTTCCCCAGATGTTCTTTACTGATGGGGAGCCACGGTGACTAAAGCCCTGTTTACACTTGGCCGCGATAAGCATGCCGTTCTGGGCACGGTACCAGGCGGCAATAAATTTCCAGAAATTGACCCGTTTACATTTCTCTGAAATAACCAGTCTCGGAACCGTGCCAAGCACGCCAAATGTGGAACTCTTCACAGAAACGTTAATTTCAGTCCCTATGCAAATTACCCGGATGAATACAATTATGATGGTTGATTTAGTTTGAGCAGCCATTTTGACAGAACTGATGACAGAACTGTCAAAGTTTGCGGGGGGAAAAAGTTCAAGGTTTGTTTCGCGCATACACCTTGACCAATAATGGAGTGACCAGCTGATTAATATATAAAACAAGTCGTGATTGTCGATTTTGTCGTTAAATTTTAAAATCTTGCATGTGTTCAAATCCCTTTAAATCTAGGCCACCCAAATGTCTAGAAATGAAATGAAATGGGGTTTAACGTCCTACTGTTTTGCTCCGAACTGGGCTAATGAAGACGGGCATACGCCATACAGTGTGCTATGAGGGAAATTTTGCCCGGACAGCGGCACTATGGCCTACTCTTATATCGAATTCCAACTGTCAAGGGATCTTTTACGTGCACGCCAATGTGTACACGGGACCTCGGTTTTTCGTCCCATCCGAACATCTAGACAGCTTTCCTTGTCAGCCCCTCCGTCCTGCATCACTGACAAGGGAGAACCACGCCGGAAAATCTGGATGAACATTCTCGGCCAATGCAGGGATCGAACACCCGACCTCCAGGCTAGCGAGCCAGCGTCTTATCCACTTAGCCCATTTTGCATAACATGTAACATTACATTTTGCATAACATTATATTTTACATTAAATTTCATAAGATCTGCATTCTGCAAACTAGATTTCAAATAACATTTTGCATAACATTACATTTCGCAATTACATTTTATAGGATCTGCATTCTGCAAACTAGATTTTACATTACATTTTGCATTATGTTCTATTACATAACATTACATTATATTACATGGTTTTGAGTTGGCAGTATGTCTTGTTTCTTGATTTGTCTTAACAAAATAAGTAAAAGAATTATTATTTGGTTGAGATAACTTATTCTAAAATCAGTATACTTGAGGTGGCCATTGTTAAACTAGGACTAAACGGAATGAATAAATCATGCTGTTCTTTATTTTGACCATGACGAGGCGATCAAAAAATATAAAACATTTATTTATATTAATAAAGCCTTATTATTTCTCTTTTCAGGATATAGTTGATTCTGTGGGGAATTTAAAATTTCATACGTTCCGCATTCCAAACCTGGGAAAAAAGTCTATTTATCATCAGGTAAGGTCTGGTTTGTTTTTATAAATATTTTATTATATAATATTGTTCTAATTGACAATCAATACTTGTATGTCTTTCATCCAGATATTATTCTGTTTATTATCAAGCCACCTGTCACAAACATTGTTAGACATAAATTCAGGTGTTATCAGGTATTATCAGGTGTTATCAGGTATTATCAGGTGGTATTATCAGGCACAATCAGTCCCGCATCTTTCATTTTGTCTGGCACAGATTTATCTGATTTTGGAGTTTTTGTATGCCCACATTGAAATGTGTTTTTTTATTGTCTTCACCCCTTTCTGCCTGTCATTGACAGCTATAAGAGACTAATTTAATATCTGATTGACTTTAAATTTAGACACAGTGTTTAAGCCTGTTGGTTCGATCCCTGCATTGGCCAAGAAAGTTCCCCCTTGTCAGTGATGCAGGACGGAGGGCCTGACAAGGACAGCTGTCTAGTCATCTGGATGGGGCAAAAAACTGAGCTCCCATGTACACATTGGCATGCACGTAAAAGATCCCTTAACAGTTTAAATTCATTATAAGAGTCGACCGTAGTGCTGCTGTCCAGGCAAAATTTCTCTCATAGCACACCATATGACATATGCCCGTCTTCATTAGTCCAGTTTGGAGCAGAACAGTAGGATGTTAAACCCCATTTCATTTAAGGCTGTTGATTTTCTACTTCTTTATTTCTCCAAAACTATATATTATACATAGTTAATGCAAAACTATATATTATACATAGTCATTGAGTTAATGCAAAATTATATCCTTTTTTCTTATTATTACAACATATTTATAGTGCACCCTTTCATATAACATGTTCAGGGGCACTTTACAAAGTGACAATATAATCATAAAAAAAAAAACAAGATTATGAACATTTTAACGATTGTGTATACAGAGTCAATTAAAAGCCTGATTAAATAAATGTGTTTTAAGTTGTTTTTTTAAAAGAATATAGAGATGTACAACATCTTAAACTAAATGGTAGATTATTTCATTAAACATGTGCTTGATATACAAAGGTTCCAACTTAAATGAAATGTGCGAACAATTAAGTAATATCAATAATTAATGAAAAATAGTGACAATAACAATAGTGGTTTATATTAAGTATATAACAAAAGGTTATCACGGAGGATTAACTTTTGATGTAATGGTTTTAATGAATCCACATTAACTTCTGTAATAAACATTAACTTCTGTTTTTACAATTATATATATATAACAAAAGTCTATGGAATTTGAATGTATTTGGACGATTTTGGCACCAATCTGGCAATAATCTTTTTCTTTCAGAAGAAAAATATTTACATTTTAAAATGTAGTGGAATTTGTCACCGATATTCAATAATTACTGCCACCAAAGTTATGACCCTTGATCAATTTGAAAACTGACTTTATACTTTTGACTTCAGGGATACAGGACGGAAGGCCTGACGAGGACAGCTGTCTAGTTGTTCAGATGGGACCAAAAAAAAATGAGGTCCTGTGTACACATTGGCATGCATGTAAAGATCTCTTGGCAGTTGGAAATCAATACAAGTTTAGGCCGTAGCGCTGCTGTACGAGCAAAATTTCTTTAATAGCACACTGTATGGCAGATGCGCATCTTTATTAACAGAGTAGGATGTTAAATTCCATTTCATTTCATTTCAGTATGAAAAAATAACTCATTATTTCACGGTATATCTTGTCAGAAATAGATTTTGTCCATTGGTGTCACTTCCATTTGTATCATATAGAGAAACACTCAGATTAAATAAGCCAAACTTATTTACCACTCAGTGTTATTAAAGTCTGTTTATCATTCCTATTGTTCGTACAATATCGGATTTTTTTCAATGCTTAATCCACACTAATTAATTATTTAACATTTAATTAGAAAAACAAAATCAAGATATGAACCGTAGATAATCTCTCCACTGGGTTTCAATCGGATTAAGAAAAGAGGCACATCAAAGGTGGCATTGGCTTTTGTTGACTATATCTGATGTGACAGTCACTAATGAACTGGCCCCAACTTCTTCACAAAGCATTCTCAGACTTAAGTTAAAGAATTTATTCAAAATTGCTAAAATATAGCCCTTTATAAAACCTTTGTTGTTTTAATGTATCAAATACATCAATAAGAAACTATGTGCAATTTTTTGTGTTTCTGGATCAAAGACATTTCTCATAAACAGTTAAGTCTGAGAATGCTTTGTGAACTTGGGGCCAGGTATCTATCTTTTATAACCTTGTGACGGACATATACAAGTATTGATGAAATGAAAATATACTGATTAAATACACTGTGCCGGACAAAATGGACAGGCAGCAGATGGATATATATATAAAGCCCTCCAAAGTCTGAAATTAGTACCTGACAATGACAGGTGACTTATTTCTTGACTTGATAATATACAGACTAATTATTTAAATTGTGCCTGACAATGGCTTGCATAATATACAGAATAATTATGTACTTTAGTACCTGACAATGTTGATGACAAATGCCTTATTTCTAGACTAATTATCCAAATTGTGCCTGACAATGGCTGGCATAAAAAAAAACAGAATAATAATGTAAATATGTCCCCAAAAATCTGACAGGTGCCTTGTTTCCAGGCAGTCTAATTATGTAAATATGTACTCGACAATCTGACAGGTGCCCTGTCTCCAGGCCTGAATAATATACAGACTAATTATTTAAATTGTGTCTGACAATGGCTTGCATAATATACAGAATAATAATGTAAATATTTACCCAACAATCTGACAGGTGCCCTTCTTCCAGGCTTTAATAATATACAGACTAATTATGAAATATCTACCTGACAATGGCCCTGACAGGTGCCCAGTTTCCATGCTTGGTATATTGTACAGTCTAATTATGTAAATTAGTACCTTACATTCTGACAGGTGCCCTTTTTCCAGACCAGGGATGGGATTTCGCCCGTATATTCTGGACTTGTCCGACGCTATTTTCCAAACGCCCAGAATTGTCCGACCGGGAATATGCGCAATCGGACATCAAGACATGGTGAATAATATTCAAAATTCCAAAATTAATATAGTTTACTGGGTGTATAACTACCACTCAACCCGATTGATTAGGTAATTAAGTGATGAACGTATTTATTGTGTTATACCGCCTATACACCTACCTTGATTAACTAGTTAATCTGCCTTAATCCTTTATCGAACAATTCACCAATCCAATCCTTTATGTCACTTTATTTTCGTTAAAAATGTCTGACAAGAAAATTTTTGAAATCCCATCACTGTTCAAGACTTTAATAATATGCAGACTAATTATGTAAATTTGTGCCTGACAATGTCTCTGACAGGTGTGTCCTGTTTCCAGACTTGATCATAAACAAACTGATTACCTGTATATGTAAATTTGATATTTCATGCTTCAGGTAAATATTGATAGTACCACATCGTTAACTGCAAGCGTTTTATCACGATATAATACCGAGGCTACCTGGAAGAGTGGACCACTTTCTCAGTATGAAAGTATCAACGGTCAAAACAGGTTTGTTTGTAATTCATTTATTAGAATATTGATGGTCATCCCAAATAAAGAGGAGGTCCATCTGCTCAACCTCAAGAATTTTCTCTGGGTCCTCCAGTTTCCTCATGCCTGTCCAACCTTGTGGGTTTTCACTGGATATTCCGGTTTCCTCCCACTACTAAAGACTCCTACGTGCAAGCCAATTATTGAAATAAAATTGAACCATGTGTTAGTCCCGAAATGACCTAGTTTGTGTCAAGTGGACATTAAACCCCATCTCTCTCTCTCTCTCTCTCTCTCTCTCTCTCCAGTTTCCTCCCACTGCTCGAGACCCCTACATGCAAGCAAATTATTGAAATAAACCTGTACCATGTTAATCCCAAAATGGCCTAATTTGTCTCGAGTGGATGCTAAAACCCATGGGGCCATGGCTGACAAACTATGCTTGGTAGTCTAACAGAAGTGAAAAGAAAAATATTGGTTCATGAATGCAAGGGTTCAATTGTGGAAGTTTGATTTAGACTTGGACAAAGGGCTCGGCAAGAAACACTGTTTAATCATTTCGATGGTACGAAAAACTGAGCTCCCCGGTACACATTAGCATGCACATAAAAGAACCCTTGCAGTTGGAATTGTTAAAGAGTAGGCAGAACTTTGTCTATAGCACACTGCATATAGTATGAACATTTTCATTAAAAAGAGAGAGAGAAATGGGGTTTAATGTCCACTTAACATAAACTAGATCCTTTCGCGACTAACATATGGTTCAATTTTATTTCATTATGTCGCTTGAACATAGGCGTCTTTGGCAGTGGGAGGAAACCGGAAGACCCAGGAAAATCCACGAGGTTGGACAGGCGACCTTACTCCTTGTAACATACAACCGGGGAATTGAAACCACACCAGTTGACTCAATGACAAACCTTATGATAAAACGCGCACGCGCTAACCATTCGACCATCCAACCCCGCTTTCATTAGAAAAGTAAGACTTTAAGCACTTTTCAATTCATTCATTTAAATTTATTAATTTAGCTTGTATTTGGAAAATCAATACTTTTTCTCAATAATTACAATGTTCATATGTATCTTGCTTGGACATCTGTAAAATCTTGTCTGATCATCCAACTTCCTCCTCTTAAGTGTTATTATCACGTTGCATGTCGTCTGTGACGACTAAAAATTACCGCAAAGTTTATGTGCTTCAGTTAAAAGGGTTTTTGATTATCGTAGTGGTTGCTTGGACAGCGTATAATTTTATTCAATTTATTTACCAGGGAACATGTTCGGTATATTGCTAACCAATCAGAACTAATGATAGATTTATGTGTGGAATATTTACCAATCGGAGATTGTATTGATTTAGTGTTGATTGTTTGAATATGTTTGAAACAAGATTGACCATGTACCATGTATTTTTATGTCTGTCAGTAAAATGAGGATCTGTTTAAGGATACGTTCCCGCGTACAAACTAGGTGATTTGATGATATATTTGGCCTAAAAACATATTCAAGCTAATTGATTTATCATAAATTTGCTTCAAATCCTTCTCAAAACATTGTAATTGTCAAGGAATACCCTTGCTATAAAAAATTGATCAAAAGAGGTCATGTTTGTATCACGTGACTTACGGGTGCGAAGTCGGAGGAGAATTCATTGCATACACAAGACGATGTTGTTTTTAATTCCTGACTATAAATTACAAATATCGAATCATAATTAAATTCTCGGATTATCCACTGCCAGCGTCTTTTTTGTGATTTTTATCTCAGAAAGTGTTGTACATCTAACTCTTCATAAAGTTTATCAAGTTTATACGCTCCATGAATGTTTTTCGGGGAATCCAGTATTTTTCTAGTAAGATTGGATATCTCTACTTTCCATATATACCAAAATTGCCATACTTTTATTGGAAATAACCACCTGATAAATACTTTTCTGGGAACCAATCAAGTGTTTCTGTCTCTTTTAAAGAATTTATAATCTGTTTCGTCTGCATACAAAAATAAAAATGAAAACTTAAAGATTATGGTTAAAGAGCTGGCTGTTCTTGCTATAATAGTTCAAAAATAGATAACCAAAAATAAATAGATAAAATATTTCATTCAAATTACTTCCGTCCGAGCCACGTTATCACTGTTTGTAGTTCTGACAAGATGTGTGTACTGGTTATTCGAGACATAACCTTGCTTCTCCATTTTTAAATTAAATCATTAAATGGCAGAACCATTTTAATCTACTTAAAATCGGTGTCAAATTATTATGTTCATTAAGTTATAATAAAGTTTTTGTTCGAGATTTAAGTATTAAATTCTGGTCTTATTTAGTTGAACAAAGTTCCAGCGGTTCCGTATTTATTTCCTTGTTGAATTTGAATTTTAAGTTATTAGCTGTACAAAGAATTTGTATTGAGAGATTTTTTTCTGGGCCCGAATTCACAAAGCATTCTCAGATTTAAGTTAAGAATTAACTCAACTTTCAATCTCTGTTCATAACAAAACACAACACAAAGTATATATGGATATAAGTAGTTATATCTATATATTACGAAACGTCGTTATTAAATAATAGAGAAGTAGTTATAACCATATATACCTTTTGTTGTGTTTTGTTATGAATAGAAAGGATCACGTGGCTAAGTGGGTAAGACGCTGGCTCGCTAGCCTGGAGGTTGGGTGTTCGATCCCTGCATTGGCCGAGAAAGTTCATTCAGATTTTCCGGCGTGGTTTCCCCTTGTCAGTGATGCAGGATGGAGGGCCTGACAAGGACAGCTGTCTAGTCGTTCGGATAGGACAAAAAACCGAGGTCCCGTGTAGACATTGGCGTGCACGTAAAAGATCCCTTGGCAGTTGGAATTCGATATAAGAGTAGGCCGTAGCGCCGCTGCCCGGGCAAAATTTCCCTCATAGCACACTGTATGGCGTATGCCCGTCTTCATTAGCCCAGGTTAGGAGCAGAACAGTACGACGTTAAACCCCATTTCATTTCATTTCATTTCATTGTTATGAATAGTTAAACTGTGCTTCTAGGTGTCATTTAAAGAACTGATTTCAATCTCTGTTTGAAATGTTTTATAAAGGGCTATATTTTAGTTAAAATAAAGCAATTTTAAATTCTTAACCTAAGTCTGAGAATGTTTTGAGAACACAGGGCCAGGATTCATTGGAACTAGTTCTCAAAAGTATTCAATCAGAAATTTCATTTTATTGATTTGTGAAATACGCCAACTCAATTCAGCTAATGCTACCTGTTGTGATTGTCGATGCGGACACGATGCGGACACGACGACTACCGTGAGAGTTATTGATGTGATCGTAGAGAGAGGGTTGTCTGGAAGCAACTGATAATAATAACTACAATTTCACTCGCGAAAATAAATTGAATGACTTTGATACTATCCATTGGACACAGGTATCCAGGGGAGATAATCGCTGGTGATCAGGTGCATGAAAATAATACCCTTGTATTTAACACTAAAATCAATAGAAAATACTGCTACTGGTTATCTAGTGTGCAATACAGACTCTTATACCACAGTAGGGGATCTATTTATAGCCCTTGAAAGATGATATTTGTTAAACAATGGAGATTATCTCTGTCTATGTGTAACTGATAATGGAAATAAAACCATTTAACTACCCATTCATTAAGTTCAAATTTTAAATGTAGAAATTGATATTAAAATTTATGGTCATTGCCGTCACTTTTAATCACGATTAACACAACATGATCTGATTTACACACACAATTTACATAAACAATTTCCTTGGTTATGTGGTTACAAATTGTTGTGGTTGCCACGGATATCTGTCATTCCATTCACATTTCATCTTGTAAGCACCCTGTTTGAGGCCATTTATTAAAATTTCGAACCTAACTCTGTGATGCCATATGAAAGCATTTTGTGTCTTGCTTGATTCTTAATCAATCCCACTGTGAGCCACAAAGAACCGTCAAATTCAACCCTTCTTAAATAAAGTTATTGTTATTATTATTATTAAACCCAGCCACCATGGGCGTGGATTTAGGGGGGGAACGTTTAGAATCGGAAGGGGGGGGGGACAGATTTTCAGGTTTATATCCACATGATGGTGAGCTTGTTTCTACGTATGTGGCCAAATCTATTTCACTCGTGCACAAAGTGTTCCTCATTATGTCACCTGAAGTGGGGCAGATGTTCTCTGCTGTCGAAGCTCTCCTCATCTCACACTGCTGAACCCTGCTAGTTCCTGCGCAGCCGAGCGATCCTTCAGCACTCTGCATCGTATCAAAACTTGGCTGTGTATCTCCATGACGTAAAACCGACTGATTCACTTGACGGCGTGTGCCGTGCATGATGACCCCCTTCATGTAGCCAAGATATTCAAAGAGAACAGTCCTGATTGTAGAATGAACGGCTTTGGATGATTCACTTAACTTCATGAACAATTAATATTTATGCAGCTTTGAGTAGGTAGTCAATTTTTCCATATTGTCATCATATTGCCCCTAGTTACCCCTAGAAATAACACTGGTACAGTAAAGTGTTCATAATTATTTATTTCGTTTGGTAATGAAATGTTCCATGTTTCAGGGTTCGTCCGTCCCCCACCAAAAGTTATGACAAATCCACACCCTTGCTAGCCACCACTGGTCAGCTCACAAGAAAATTGTGCCTAGACTAGTGATAGATAGTACCAAAAAAAAGAGGTCCACCCATGTCATGTACACATTGGGGCGTATATATAAGAGAAAGCGCGAGATCAGTGGGGTGTAACATCCACTCGACACAAACTAGGTCATTTCGGGACTAACATATGGTTCAATTTTATTTCAACAATTCACTTGCGCGTAGGGGTCTTTGGCAGTGGGAGGAAACTGGAGGACCCGGAGAAAACCCATGAGGTTAGACAGGCGACCCTACTCCTTGTACTTACTCTCTTGTGCCTTTGTCACCAATCTTTACTTTGTATTTATTTCAGGCACGCCATCTTAGCTCATTTAATCCAGTGTTATTATTGTGATATAGCCTCACTTTCAACTCGGTCACATCAAGCTTTCTGTAAGGCTTGTAGTAGGTAAGTACAATACTTTAAACATGTGAGACAACAAGCATTTGAGATGAAAAACTGGATTCATCTTCAACACCTTTATTTCACTCTCTTTCCGGACAATATCTGATTCTACCTCAATAAAATGTATTTGTTTATTTAACATTTGGGGATCACGGTGGCTAAGTGGGTAAGGCGCTGGCTCGCTAGCCTGGAGGTCGGGTGTTCGATCCCTGCATTGGCCGAGAAAGTTCATCCAGATTTCCTGGCGTGGTTCTCCCTTGTCAGTGATGAAGGACGGAGGGGCTGACAAGGACAGCTGTCTAGTCGTTCGGATGGGACGAAAAACCGAGGTCCCGTGTACTCATTGGCGTGCACGTAAAAGATCCCTTGACAGTTGGAATTCGATATAAGAGTAGGCTGTAGTGCCGCTGTCCGGGCAAAATTTCCCTCATAGCACACTGTATGGCATATGCCCGTCTTCATTAGCCCAGTTTGGAGCAAAACAGTAGGACGTTAAACCCCATTTCATTTCATTTCATTTATTTAACATTTAATTAAAGGGGTATTATGTAAGATTTAGATTATTCAAAAATAAGTAATGAAAAATTACTTTCTTTATTTGGAGCAAAGTTAGCAATGGATGTAGTTTTGACAATATGTTTGCATTGATTGTAACCACCGTACTGGTCATTTGAGTATTAGCTTGGGTTAAATTTTACATCTCGTGACCTTGATGAAATCTGCAGGTAGCCTTAATATTTAGATCTATCCTATGTTCAGCAGCTTGAAGCATCTGTTTTTTGTTGAAGAAATTCATTACATATGAAATATTAAATAAGATTTTATTCCATGTTATTGTTAAACAGTAAATATAAAGATTAAACTTAGCTGTTTTGATCAGTATTTCTACCAAATGATAAATTTATTATATTTTTACACACCACCATTTTAATCTCCTGTCTATGTTTTATTTTATTTGAAGGATTTGTTCAGCTGGATTTAGTAACTTAGATTCCTATGCTAGTACAGGATATAATAGTCCAGATTATCACAATACAGATAAATGTAATGGTATAATACATGAAGAACGTCCAGTACCTAGATTAGCAGTTAGCCCAGCATTATTAGTAGAAATGTTGTCGTGTTTATATTTCATAATGTAAGTTACAAACTGTATTAATATCACTTTACTAATAACAGTAGATATATGAAAATAGCAGGGGTTGGATGGCCGAATGGTTAGCACGCGCGCGCTGTATCATACGGTCTGTTGAATCAACAAGGAGTAGAGTCGCCTGTCCAGCCTCGTGGGTTTTCTCCGGGTCCTTCGGTTTCCTGCCACTGCTAAAGACTCCTATGCGCAAGCAAATTATTGAAATAAAATTGAACCATATGTTAGTCCCAAAATGACCTAGTTTGTGTCAAGTGGAAGTTAAACCCCATTTCTTTCTTTAAATGAAAATGAAATGGGGTTTAATGTCCTAGGGCCTTTATAAAATATATCAAGGGTATGTTTTGTGTTTAATGATTTGATCAGGTACAAGAAGGTGATTGTTGTGGTGATTCTATACACTGATCCTGAATTGAAGAGACATAACACAAGGGACATAACTCCAGTTAATTATGCCATGTTAGAAAATCTACCCTCTACTATCATTTTATGTGGGTTCTGAAGCTGCAATTCAGCCACTGAATGGTCTAAAACAGTGCTGTGTTCCTATACAAATAATTGTCCGATGCTATGATTAAACATGTAAACTCTACTAGTAAAAAAAAACAAGTTTAGTCCTAAAATGACCCGGTTGATTAATGTTTATTTCTTTTAATATTTTATATCCATCGACACGATTTATGATTTTTTATATTAATGAATCAGGGAATGTCGATGGCTCAGTGATTGAGGTGCCAGCTTACAATTCATGAGGTTGTGAGTTCAATCTTGGTTGTCAGTTTTGCAGGACGGGGGATGGCCTGGCAAGAAACAGTTTCTAATCACTTATATGAAAGGAAAAAACAAGGGACCTGTCTAAAGGTTGGCAAAAGAACCCTTTGGCAGTTTGTATTTGATGAAGTATAGGCTGAAATGCAACTGCCTGGGCAAAATGTCCCTCATATCGTACGGCATGACGTATGCCCCCTCTTCATTAGCCTGAGTGGTGCAGAAAAATAGGACGTTGAACCCCATTTCATTAATATTTTAACGATTAAACCCCATTTCTTCCATTTTTGAATAGATATCATGCCCTAAATGAATACATATCATGCCCTAAATGAATACATATCATGCCCTAAATGAATAGATATCATACCCTAAATGAATAGATATCCTACTCTAAATGAATAGATATTATGCCCTAAATGAATAGATATCATGCCCTAAATGAATAGATATCCTACTCTAAATGAATAGATATCATGCCCTAAATGAATAGATATCCTACTCTAAATGAATAGATATCATACCCTATATGAATAGATATCATGCCCTAAATGAATATATATCCTACTCTAAAAGAATAGATATCATGCCCTAAAGAATAGATATCATGCCCTAAATGAATAGATATCATGCCCTAAATGAATAGATATCATGCCCTAAATGAATAGATATATTCTCACCTCATAAATAGAATACCTAAAATACTTTGGTATTAAATACCCATTCTTCATTCCACATATTTTTTATGCCACAAATTTAAGTCTGAATATATGTCCGTATGAAGGATGCTGACTGAGCAGTGGAGTACAGATGTTACAGGATACTCCTGTCGACAACATCATTCTTGGAATCCATCCACATCTACTTAATGTGCCAATGGGAATATATACCCAATACACCACAAGACAGAACAATCTAGGCATCCCTAGGCAAACAGTCACACAGCACAACACATATTTACATCCCTGCTATTTATAGTTTGATGTGAAATGAAATGTATGAATATAATGAAAATGTAAAATGAAATTTAATAAATTCTTGTAACCTGATGGTTTTCGTGAATAAAGATTATTATTATTACAGCCTAGAAAATTGATCACTATACATGTGTTTATGAGATGATTATTTTGAAATATTTTTTTAGGTATTATGGGGAGCGAAATTTAGGTGTACAAGCATATCCAGACTTGATCTCTATCCAAATTTAGGTGTACAAGCATACCCAAACTTGATTTATATATTGTGTTGAGGAGATGATTATTGTGAGGAAATATTTTAAATATTTTTTAGGTATAATGGCGAGCCTAATTTAGGTGTACAAGCCGTAGAAGACATTCATGCTCGAGGATCATACGAACTGTATGCTGATGTCTTGATAGTAAGTTAATATTTTTTTTAAAATTTGGTTTGTCTAACCACTTTAATGCTGTCAATTGTGTGTTGTTGATTCCTACTCTCTCCTTATTTATACATTTTGGTATAAGACCTCATAAGATTCAAATTGAAGAACCCAGGGAAAGAACGATCTAAGTCACTTTTTCAACGAACCCCAGTTAATGGTGCCATCTGGTAGCAAATTGTATAAACTTTCTGTGGAACAATCAATTTCAGTTAAAAACGATCGGAGTCACATCAAACCAAGGCCCTTCTGAAATGGCCTCCCGGACAAATACGTCCATCGCACCCTTTATTTGATCTTAATTTGGCTGAAAAGTGAAAGTCAGTTGTTGTACTGGTAGTTATGATTCGTATTAAACATAATTTTGAGGTTGTAATTAAACCTACTCGTTGTTCTGTTCGCGTCAAGCATTCTCGTCCAAAAGTCTGTTTTGCCTTTTATGCGAAAAGACAAAAATGTGACTTAGGTCGTTCTTCCCCTGGACTCTTCAATTTAAAATGGGCTTGAAAACTGAATTGTGTTCAGAAAGAGTCATAAGTTTTAACTACATGACTTATGACACTCTTTCAACTCGTTTATAATATTGTGTTACTTATTGTTTACAGAAGTAATAAAACGAAAACAATTGCAAGGAAATTTTAGAACTTATTTTTATTAAGGAAATGATAAAGCAAATGTCTGTCATTTCGATATAATAATACTTAACATATCTTTGTCTGAAAGCATTTCATTTTGAAACACTCTATTGGAGTTATCTCCCTTTATACAGACTTTTTTAGATGCAAATAGACTTTCAATACAGAATGAAGTTGACAATGTTCATGCTTGTTATTAGGGAAATTAAATGGGGTTTAACGTCCCACTGTTTTGCTCCGACTGGGTTAATATAGATGGCCATACGCCATACAGTGTGCTATGAGGGAAATTTTGCGCGGGCAGCAGAGTTATGGCCTACTCTTATATCAAATTTCAACTACCAAGGGATCATTTACGTGCACGCCAATGTGTACACAAGACATGGTTTTTTTTGTCCCATCCGAATGACTATACATTACTGACAAGGGAGAAACCATTACTGACAAGGGTGACCCACCATAAATAAATATCTCCAAATATCTTGACAATTACGCCACAATATTTATATATATGCCAAGCCTCAAATCAGTTTCACACAATTATAGTCACTAAATAAACGATCCTGTTGTACTTAATAAGCTATGATCATTAATCATCTATAAATAATAGACTGAAAACTGGTTCCATTTTTGAGTAAAAGATAGGTTACGTGCCCTTGTTTTGAAATTAGTCTCGCTTAACCAGTCTATCGACCATTCTACGTCTGATTGACAAGTCGGGATAATCAAGACTACTTTTTTACGAAACATAACAGAAAGCTAGAACAAGAAATTGAATTTAGAAATAAGCACTTTAGCCAACTCAACAATTGTTTTAAGAAACTTGTAAAAGTAAAATGAAACTACTGCTAGTATCATGTTCCTGCTAACGAAAGTGATTCAGAGATATTATTTGTACTAAACCAAAAGATGCCGCTCTTAACGGTACAGTTAATGATAAAGCAATTTAAAAAATAAAACAAACGTAATTTCTAAAGCTGCTGTAATAACCAAGAAGCTAAATTTTACTGCTATTCAAAATCGTCAACAATAGATTTTTTACGGCTGTAATAGTTGATATATTTGTAGAGAATTGCACGTGCCATGGCTATTTATCGACTCAAAGAGAGTGCGGGGTAGTCAGAAATCAGTTCGAGACACGCAACTGAAACGTGCACATTTAGCCTTGTCGAGACCAACTTTCTGTAGAGTGCACGGGTCACCCTACCAATGTCTTACTCACTGAGCCACGGTGTTTCCCGTTAATATGAGGGACATGTGTATTAAAGTAGCAATGATTCTGTGTAAGGTGTAATAATTGGTTGCCATTAATCAGCCTAAATGTTGAATATGCATATTAATTTAGAAATGCTAAAGTAACATGCCTCTCTTTATTAGCTCAGTTGGAATTTGATACAAGAGTAGGCCATAGCGCCGCTACCTGGGCAAAATTTCCCTCATAACACACTGTATTGTTTATGCCTCTCTTTATTAGCTCAGTTGCAGTAGAAGGTTAAACCCCATTTTATTTCCTGTCTCTAATAATTAGAGATTAAACTTCTACGATATTGTAGTTTGTAAGGGTTTCCTATAGCGCTATTTGACACATTTTTTTTGTACTTGGTTTTATTTTATTATGCAAGAGCTGCATCTGCCTATTACAGATCTTTCTTTAGGCCTGAAATGTTATCCAAATTATTAATTAGACATTAATTAACAAAACAAGATCATAATCATGTCTCGATGGCATCGGATACTCAAGATTTTAGCTAGATTAGAAGGTTCGCAATTTAAAATTTTAATTTAAAAATGGGAAAGCGAGGTCAGGTCTCGAATGTTCCAGTGCTCTGGTTACCACTATGCACACATCTTCTCAAAACTAGAAACAGTGATAACCTAACTTGGCTCAGAATAAAGTAATTTGAATTAAATTTTTAATGTTTTCTTTATTTTTATCATCTATTTTTTAATTATTATAGCAAAAAATGACGAACCCTTTATTAAACTCTTAACTATTGTATCTTTAAAAAAATTTCAAAATATAGTCTATTTTACCTCCATGCAAAGACTTGATATTTCTGGAATTGGTATAAATTACCTGACAGAGAACAACATCTGCTGTGAATAATGAGATTTTGTTTGTAATTTACTTTTGATGGTAATGAATAAAGATCGGTAGAGGAAGCCAAGGATTTAAAGTAAATATAGATTAAAGTAGTAGGCTACTTTTAATTAATGTACATTGAAGGGTTTTACCATCTTTATAATAAAAAAAACATGTGGTGTATCTAAAAACACACTTGGTTTGTGTTTGTATCAGGGATCTTGTTGGGAGCCACGGTGGCTCAGTGAGTAAGGTGTTGGCGTTTGGTCCCTACGTTGGCTGAGAATGTTTATCTGGATTTTTCAACTTGGTCCCCTCCTTGTCAGTGGTGCAGGACAGAGTGCTATGAGGGAAATTCTGCCAGGCAGCGGCACTACGGTCTACTCTTATATCGAATTCCAGCTGCCAAGGGATCTTGATATAAACGCCAATGTGTACGCCTCACCTCAGGTTTTCTGTTCCATCCAAACAACTTGACAGGGAATTTTATTTGCTCGCTAACATTTACACCAGTCTCGGTTATCGTTCCCCTAAAACTTTGCCAAAACATGCGGAGATACTTTCTTGGCCAATACTGGGATTAAAACCCAGACCTTCTGGCTTGTGAGCCAGCACCCTACCCACTGAGCCACCATGGCTCCTTACTAAGATGCGATAAACCAGGGTTAGATCTTATTGATGGAGGGTTGGATGGCCGAATGGTCAGCACGCTCGCGCTGTATCATACGGTCTGTCATTGAGTCAACTGGCGGTGTTTCGATTCCCCGGTTGTACGTGACAAGGAGTAGGGTTGCCTGTCCAACCTCGTGGGTTTTCTCCAGGTCCTCCGGTTTCGTCCCACTGCTAAAGACCCCTACACGCAAGCGAATTATGGAAATAAAATTGAACCATATGTTAGTCCCGAAATGACCTAGTTTGTGTCGAGTGGACATTAAACCCAATTTCTCTCTCTCTCTCAGATCTTATTGATAAGGCCAACTTCAAGTTTGGTCTAAGGTTACGGGATGTAAACAGGGCTGGAGCTGATCCCAACCCTAAACCTAAACCCTGGACCTAGCCCTAACACTTAACCTACAATCTCACCAACAATCACTTGCCCTCACCTTATTTACATCTCATCGACCTTGACGAAAATTGAGCTGGTCTTAACAAATAGATCTAGCCACAAACCAGTTACAGTAGACATAAAGACATAACAGATGATATCTGCTGATATCAGCATATTATAATATATATATATGTCAGGTCACATGACATTTTACTTTCCTCTGATGCCATGACAACCTATATAGATGACCTAGGTTGTATATTTAAAAAAAAACACACAAACATAGAACCTTTAACAGAACCTCACTGTGCACCAGAATATATTATAAAGTCTGACATTGAAACAAAGGTTCACAGAGTATGACTTGGAGGTTTCAGTTCTACAGTATACAGCACTTATAAGATGTGTCGTTCAAGAAGTGCATGGATCGGGTAATACATCAAGTTGATTTTGAACAAGGCGGTTTGTGAGGAAAGGGTAGGTTGGGTGTGAGATAGGGGATTACAAAGATTATTATCTAAACCACCTTAAAGGGGAATTATGTAAGATAAGATAAAGAGCTGACAGTTGATAATGTAAAGAGAATATGCTGAATATTTCAGTCAAATCACAGATCGTATTCAAATCTGTTTAAAATGGTACCAATCAGATGGTATCGAGGGTTGATTGTAGTCTTGTTATGTTAATATATATCTAATTAATAATTTATATAACATTGGCATGCCCGTTAAAGATCCCCTGGTGGTTGGAATTCGATATAAGAGTAGACCATACTGTCGCTACCCGGGCAAAATTTCCCTCATAACACACTGTATGGCTTAGGCCCGTTTTCATTAGCCCATGGCAAAGCAGAGCAGTAGAACATTAAACCCCATTTCAATTTATTCCATTTCCCTTACTATGCCAGTCCCAGACTTGTTCATATCATAAAGTTAAAACATCTTACAGACCTTCCGGCAACTTGTATGTTATGTATACTCACTTATCTTAGGATGTATTACTTTTATATTGCACACTTTCATTTGTCTCAACATTTTTACGTTTAAAATCGACGGAAATTAATAAAAAAAACCATAAAAATATATGGAAGGATAATTTTTGTGAAGTCTGTGACCAAATGGAGAGGAAGAGGAAGAGCCAATAAAAGAATCTCCTCCAAAAAAACCTATAAATCTGATAAAGTGTATGTTATTCTATTACAGAGAGGATTTCC